GAGCCGGGACTGATTAAAAGAAACCTTTTGAGTTACGTGGCTTTTGGCTTTCATTCCTGGATGGAGAAAGGAGGGGTCAGAACACCTTCCCTACCGGTTCACAAATGTGAATGCTGCATCTGTGCCTGTGCTTTTGGTGAAAAAAGGGCCTAAATGGGATGCCATAGAACCGGGGCAGGTGGGCAAGGCCACCCGCGATTTCCACTATCAGTTCGAGCGAACCGATCTGAACCGGTAGAATACCATCTCTGATGATTCCTCCCTGTTCCTAAAGAATAAATCTCTCATCTGGAATGACAAATAAAACTACAGATAGACCTCATTTAGCAACTGCCTTGTTTAGCAAAAGTTCGCAGTTGCAACAGTGATGAAAAAATTACTTTGGCTTTTCTATCGTTGCATTGAAGATTTTCACAGGTCTGTGAAGCAAAGGAAAGCTAAAGTAAGACCATAAAGCAGTGTTTCTCAACCTTGGCCACTTGAAGATGTCCGGACTTCAACTCCCAGAATTCCCCAGCCAGCGAATTCTGGGAGTTGACGTCCGGACATCTTCAAGTGGCCAAGATTGAGAAACACTGCCATAAAGCATGGTCACAGATTCACTTAGCAACCGGCCAGTAATTGCTAGATCCAATTGTGGTCACTGGACTACCTGTATGCAATGCAAGATGGAAAATCCACATTCTGGTCCCAAATAGAATATTCAGAAAATACAGAATGTGACTTTGCCAGCTGAACTATGAAAGGCATCTTAGTGTCTCACATTTAGATGTAGGTTGAGAGATGGAATGGTGGGTGTAACGTCTTCAGTTTGGGTGAGGATAAAGGCAAGAATCATAGAAATTTAGTTTTCTGAGTAGAACTTAGTTTCTTCTGGAAAATGGCTCGATGTTTGCCTGATGTCTATTTCTATTTATTGAATTGAATTGAATTTCTATTTATTGAATTTATAGGCCGCCCAATCCCAGAGGACTCCGGGCGGCTTACAGAAATAAGAAATATTAAAAAGATTAAAACAAATAAGATACAACAAATTAAAAGAAACACAACATGCACCCAGTCTAAGCGGGGCTGGACCTCAATCAAGAGGTCAACAGCCCCAGGCCTGCCGGAACAGCCAGGTCTTAACAGACTTACGGA